AATTGTTTCAATTTTCATACTGCTGATCGGACTATTTAGATTTTCCAGTTCTTCTTGATTTAGTCTAGGAAGGTTGTATCTAAGTACTGGTCCATTTCTTCTAGGTTATTAAATTTGGTGTTGTATACTTTTTCATAGTATTCTCGTATGATCCTTTGTATTTCTCTGGTGTCTGTTTTAATTTCTCCCCTTTCATCCTTGATTTTGTTTATTCGTGTCCTTTTTTTCTTTAGTGAGTCTAGCCAGGGGTTTGTCAATTTTATTAATCTTCTCAAAGAAACCGCTCTTTGTTGCATTTATTTTTTCTACTGTGTGTGTGTGTTTTTTTTTATTTCATTTATTTCTGCTCTAATTTGGATTATTTCTTTCCTTCTGCTGACTTTAGGCTTCATTTATTCTTTCCTAGTTTTTTAAGGTGAAACGTTATTGTTTATTTGAGTTTGTTCTTATTTTTGGAGATAGGCCTGTAATGATATGAACTTCTATGACCGCTTTTGCTGTGTTCCAAAGGTTTTGATATGTTGTACTATCATTATCGTTCCTTTCTATATATTTCTTGGTCTCTTTATTTCTTCTTTGACCCAGTTATTCTTCAGTAGCATGTTATTTAATCTGCATGTATTTGTGGTTCTTCCCGCTTTATTTTTACAGTTGATCTCTAACTTCAAAGCATTATGATCTGAGAATATGGTTGATACGATTTCAACCCTCTTATATTGAGGCTATCTCTGTGTTCCTGTATGTGGTCAATCCTTGCGAGTATTCCATGTGCACTAGAGAAGAATGTATAAGCAGCTGTTTTGGGATGAAAGGCTCTGTAAATGTCACTTATGTCCATTTGATCTAATGTGTCATTTAAGGATGTTATTTCCTTATTGATTTTCTGTTTGGTTGATCTGTTCATATCCGACAATCGGGTATTTAGATCCCCTACTATGATAGTGTTTTGGTCTGTTTCTCTCTTTAGTTCTTTCAGTAATTGTTTTATATATTCTGGGGCTCCCTGATTGGGAGCATAGATATTAATAAGTGTTATGTCTTCTTGGTGCATGATTCACTTTTTCATTTTGAAGTATCCCTCAGTACTTTTCTTTACCTTTTTTTTATTTTGAAGTCTGTTTCGTCTGATGTTTGTACCGCTACTCCCGCTTTTCTCTGAATGCCATTTTCTTTCAATATCGTTTTCCACCCTTTCTCTTTGAGTCTGTATTTGTCTTTGGAGTTGAGATGTATCTCTTGGAGGCAGCATATGATTGGGTTTTGTTTTTTGATCCATTCTGCAACTCTGCCTTTTTATTGGTGAGTTCAGTCCATTTACATTTAGGGTGATTATTGAAAATGAGGTTTTCTTATAGCCATTTTATCTTTTGCTTTCTGGTAGCTCAGTGTTTCCATTGCTTCCTTGTCCTGTTTCTGTTTTCTTTATTTTGGTTGGCTTTGGTGGGTTTTCCCTGTGGCTCTTCTTATGTTATATACTTCAGTTCTGAGTCTTTGGTGTCTGGTTACCATTACAGTTGTCTATTTCCTTCTGCATGTGCCTTATCCCTGTTCCCCTTTGCGAATTTTGATCTTTAAATCCTCCCCTTTTCAGTCATTATTATCTCAGTTTGTCCCTATGTATGCTGAACGTTCATTACTATTAGCAATTCTCTTATTATTGTTTAAGCTTATAATACCCTGTTCTTAGTAAGGGTTGCACTCTTCTGCTTCTATTTGTCTGGTAATCAGTTTACTCCTAATTATGTATTTTTGTTTTGTTATTTTGTTATAGGTGAGCTGACCCCTTTCAGTATTTCGTGTAGAGTAGAACTCGCAGTGGAGAATTCCCTCAATTTTGTATGTCTGAAAATGTGTTATTTCTCCTTCATATCTAACGGAGAGCCTAGCTGGATACATTCTTCGCCTTCGATAATGCCTATTATACTTATGTTTTCTCTCCTGATGATATCAGCTAGTTCTCGTAGTTCTCTTTCATTTTTTTTTATTCTTTGGTTTCTGTCTTCTTTCTTAGATTTATTTCTAGATTTCTGTCTTCGATATCTCTAATCCTTTCCTCCATTTGGTCGACTCTATTTCCCAAGCTTGCTATTTCATTTTTCAACTCTTGAAGCGTGTTTTTTATCTCCAGGTCTATTCTGTTCTTCTTGAGGGTTTCATTCTCCTTGCTCTGCTCATCTAGTTGTTTTTCAATTCCTGAAATTGTCGATATGACTTGTCTTGGAACTGAGTTTTTTTAGAAGTACCATCCTGAATTCTCTGACATTTAAGTCACATATTTCTGTGTCTGTAAGCTTATTTTCTGGAGATTTTTCTCTTTTTTTCTCAGATTTCTTGTAACCTTGGTAGCTCATGATGCTTAATGGACTATTTCTCCGTCTGGGCATTAATGGAAGTATATTTTGCTTCCCCCCCCCCAGAAAAATTTATTATATAAAGCTCTCTCTTTAGTTTATTGCAAAGAAGGCGTTTTTCTTTTGTTTTCCAGTAGGTGGCGTCTAATCCCCTTGGATCCCTGCTTTATATAAATTCTTAATAATGCCTTTTTTTATCTTATAGTTATTCAATCACACGCACTACCCTCAGTCTCAGTCCCTGTCAGTGTTAGTGACAGTTTTGGTAGTGTTTGCTCAGATTCCCCTGGGGCTCTGTGGTGTTCGGTCTCGGAGGATATGTAGGGAGGAGCCCTTTGGGTTGGAGGATGGGGCTGTAGCTCAGCCTCATGTTTTGCAACCACAGCTAGTAATAATCAACTGTTGTTTCTCTGCTATCCCCGCTTTTCTGCTTTCTGTCCCAATGCCTGGGCACTGCCATCGGCCACAGCGAGCTCATAGCTCTCCCAGGCAGGGCTGTTCAGGGAACCTGCTGCACCTTCTCCCCTCCCCCTCTTTCTGCAGGGAGCTTGGATTGCAAGAGGCAGCTTCTTTGTTTTTCCTAGTCCACCGTCCAACACCCAGGGTTCTGACCTGTGGTAGCTCTCATGCGCAGATCCCACGCTCAGACGTACTGTGCAGTTTGGGTGTTTTTTTGTTGAGTTTTAGATGTTCAACTTATTGTTGTTTCAAGGGGAGAGATCTGAGGACGTCTCTCACTCCACTATATTTCTGACCATTTTACCATCTTTCTGTCATCCCGTCCGTAGCCGTTTTCTCCAGTTGTTTTCATCTGCGTTGTTGGCATATTTACGAAGCCCTCGCATGGTTGGATTGACAGTAGACCAGGGTGTTGGTCCAGGTCCTGGAGTCTGCACGGGTCCATTTCCCCCTTGCTGCCCAGAATTCCCAGAGAGCCTTTGTCTGCTTCCCCTGCCCAAGTGTGAACTCGGGTTTATTCACTTGATAATCTAATTCACATGGTATCCCCTCATGGGTTCATGCCTGCTTCCAGTACCTGCTCTCAGACTTGCAGATAAAAACTGTGGTGCCAAGGCCCCCACCAGCGCTTGCCTGACATGCTTTCCCTCCTCCCAGCGCCTGGCTACCTACGGCATCACTGTCGCCGAGCTGACGGGTGACCACCAGCTGTGCAAGGAGGAGATCAGTGCCACTCAGATCATTGTCTGCACCCCCGAGAAGTGGGACATCATCACCCGCAAAGGCGGCGAGCGCACATACACCCAGCTTGTGCGGCTCATCATCCTGGTGAGCAGGGCTGTTGCGGGTGGGGACCTGGCAGGTCCAGGGATTTCTCTGCAGCCACTGGCCTCTGGTGACCCCTGTAGTTGGCATTGCTGTGACCATTAAAGGAGAATCTGCACCTGACTGATAATTTTCCCTATAGATGCACGGTGTTCGTCACATTATTTTTATCTTTTTCATGGTTGAAATATTTTGAGATAAATGTAACCAGACAAAGGAAAAAACTAATGTTCTCCCAGAACACCAAAAGGTTTTATAAAAAGTCGTGCATTTGGAAGGAATGAGTAGGGAGTCAGGAGGTTGTTTTCACCCAGGCAGGAGCGCTCAGGGACCAGTGACTGAGTCCACATGTAGCGTGTCTTAGTTGTCTGGGAAAGCAGAAAGAGTTCAGTGTTGATTTTTGGTGTTCTAGAGGAGGGGCTGGCCATCTGTGGCTGCTGGCTTTTGTTTTATTGGGACACAGCCATACTCATTGGTTACATTGTTTACAGCTGCTTTTGTGCCACCATGTTAGGACTGAGTATTTATAGCAGGGACTCAGGCCACAGCCTAAAGTATTGGCTGTCAGTCCTGTAAGAACAAGTTTTCAGACCCCTGTTTTAGAGCCCTGTTACTCAGCCTTGGTAGGACTACAAAGTCCTAGCCCTACCCACCCCATAGCTACTGAAATGCAGTCTACATCTAAATGAGATTCCCTGCTTCTAAGCCTGCCTTAGGCCCTGTGAACTCATCATTTGGGAGATGTCCTTTGTTTTTTGTGAGGGTACCTGCCTAGAGGTGAAGCCTGGGTTGTAAGTGTGGTCTGATCCGAAGCTTCATTTTCAGTAAAGTTTACTTGAGTGGAGTTATGACCTCAGTTACCTGCAATGTCAAGTTCTCTTTTGCCATAAAACATTGCATTTCCTTGGGCCGTAGCAAAGCAGCACGGGCAGGGCCTGTTATTTCTTGAGTGCTGCATGGTGAGTTTTATCTCCTCTTCCAGTTTCTTTGCTTGGGACCCCTTGTCTGGTCTTTGCTTGGCACGTTAGGCCTGTGCCTACACAACACGAGCACTTTCAGGAGAGGGGCTGCGTCTCTCCAGTCCTAGAGGCCATCTCTTACCCTCCCACTCCTTAGGATGAGATCCATCTCCTTCATGATGACAGAGGTCCTGTCTTAGAGGCGTTGGTGGCCAGGGCCATCCGAAACATTGAAATGACCCAAGAGGATGTCAGGCTCATCGGGCTTAGCGCCACCCTCCCCAACTATGAGGACGTGGCTACCTTTCTACGCGTTGACCCTGCCAAGGGCCTTTTCTACTTTGACAACAGGTAGGAGAAGAGATGGTTGAAATTTGACCAGGTGACCTTGCTCTTTCTCCTTTTCAAAGGGGCTCTTTTGGCTTGGGTTTTTGAAGGGCCTTAACAGTTTTGACGTGGGATGCATTCAGAAAAGATCTCCCTCCTGGGCCAGGAAGAGGACCATTTGTTTCCTCAGTATTTTGTGCTCAGGCCTCATTTATTTGTCTGACTATTGAACTCCAGCTTCCGCCCAGTGCCTCTGGAACAGACCTACGTGGGTATCACAGAGAAAAAAGCCATCAAGCGTTTCCAGATCATGAATGAGATAGTCTATGAGAAGATCATGGAACATGCTGGAAAAAATCAGGTCCGTCTGTGGCTTATCATTTGTGAACTCTGTTCTTTTGAGTTTTTGACTTGCTGATTATTAGGCAAGATAGACAAACAGAAGATATAAATCACTAATATCAGGAATGAAATGGAATATTACACAGAACCTGTAGCCATTGAAAAGATAGTAAAGGAATATTCTAAACAACTTTTTATACATAAATTTGAGAACCTAGAAGAAATGGGCCATTTCCTCAAAACCACCAACTACCAAAACTCAGTTTAGATGAAATAGATTATCTGAACAATGCTATAAACCATTAGACATAGATAATTACCTTATTTACGTTATCAAGGATCCTTCCATAAAAGATTTGGGTGGCTTATACCGAGAGGATAACAGTAAAAGTAATGATGAAAGTTAGCTAGTGAATGAGGGTGTTTTCCTAGAAAGTATGATGTAATTTTTACATTGGTAATTGACTTTAGCCATGTTAAGCAAGACAGAAACTGAGGAAAAGAAGTTACTTATTTTTGTCTGGAAAAAAAGCATTGCATTTAGATGAGACGAATTTAGATGAAGACACCAATCTTTTCTTGGCACTAAATACTTGGAGGACTTTATTTCCTACAAAATAGCGCTCATCTCATACTAAGACTTAAGTCCTTTTCTAAAGGTCAGTGCCCATTATTTTTTAAGTATTTGAGCTGTTAATTTGTAGACAGGTAGCGTAGAATCTTATCAGGTACGTAGCGTAGAATCTTATCAGGTACGTGAACAAAATTCTTAATTGAGATTCCTGAATTTGCATCCACATTGATTGTAAACTTGTGTTAAAGATGGGGTGCCAGCAGTTAGTTTAGCTTCCCATTCTGGACTCTGGCGCTGCACCGGGTGGTACACTCCCCTCAGATTTTGCCAGCTGTGTTTAGGCTTCTGAGCCAGTTTGCACTCCTGCTGTGGTTTCTTCTTCAAGACCTTGGCTTCTTAATGCTGGTGCCCTGCGTCGTGGGAGAAGCTATGGGATCCATGTCTCTGACTGTGTCTCTTGACTGGTTTCTCCGTAGGTACTGGTGTTTGTCCATTCCCGGAAGGAGACGGGGAAGACGGCCAGGGCTATCCGGGACATGTGCCTTGAGAAGGACACACTGGGCCTATTTCTCCGAGAGGGCTCTGCCTCCACCGAGGTCCTGCGGACGGAAGCCGAGCAGTGCAAGGTGAGGAGAAGCAGGCCGGTCTCATCCCCCGGGACTGTCCACACAGCAAGGACTGCATCATGATGCTGCCCTGTCATGCAGGTCAAGGTTGATCATATGGATGTGGGTGGTAGGGGCAGGGTCTCCTGTGAAAAGATTTATATTTTAAAAACTTTCAGGAAAGAAAGCCCCTGGCAGAGCGAATCAGTCTGTCTGTGTTCCGTGGGCGAATTCCTGCAGAAACCTGCCTCATCACCTTGGTCTTTATCCCTTGCACAGAACCTGGAGCTGAAGGACCTTCTGCCCTATGGCTTTGCCATTCACCATGCGGGCATGACCAGGGTGGACAGGACACTTGTGGAGGATCTCTTTGCTGACAGGCACATTCAGGTAAGGGGGCATGAAGAATAGACTTCAGAAGGCCTGCATGTCCATGGTTGGCCGTGTGTCTGTCTTGGCTTCTGGTCATCTCTGGCTCGGGTGATCTGGGTCAGGGTTGCCTCTCCCCACTCTTCACATCATGCCTGGGGGAAAGTGAATGGGTTTAGGAAAGTGTCTGAGAAGCATGGCAAAGCAAGCACGTTGGTGACTCCAGGTCTTTCCAGACCTGGTCAGGGCTGGGGTTTTAATTGTCTGATAACCTAAGGTGGCTTCATGCAGGTCTGCAGTTCTGCCCCTCAGGTGTCTAGAACCTCAAGAGGTCAATCCTTGGATAGGTGAGGAACCCAAGGACTCCTTTCCTTTCTACTTTGGTGTTCCACCAACAAGGATGGCCCACCCTCAGGCCTGCTAGAAACTCTGGGGCCGGTCCCCTGGAGGAGATGGGGATATAGACCTTCTGGTGCTGATGTCTATTTTCCTTATTACCTTTGCTTCTTTAGGTTTTAGTCTCCACAGCAACTCTGGCTTGGGGTGTGAACCTCCCTGCACACACAGTTATCATCAAAGGCACCCAGGTGTACAGTCCGGAGAAGGGGCGCTGGACGGAACTGGGGGCTCTGGATATTCTGCAGGTACTGTGCCTTTCATGTGTTCTTGGGAGGAAGGGTGTCCTGTGTACAAAGTGCAAGGCTGCCGAGAAGATAGCAGAGGGAAGGCAGGGGCCTGCCTGGGAGAAGCCTGGAACCCACCCGGCAGCGCCATGGCCACAGCCCTCCTGCTTTGCTGTCTTTGCCTCAGATGCTGGGACGTGCTGGAAGACCCCAGTACGACACCAAGGGTGAAGGCATACTCATCACGTCTCACGGGGAGCTCCAGTACTACCTGTCCCTCCTCAACCAGCAGCTTCCTATTGAGAGCCAGATGGTGTCAAAGCTGCCCGACATGCTCAACGCGGAGGTGGTACTGGGCAATGTCCAAAACGCGAAGGTAGGCAGATGCCACTTTGGGCGCCTCCGGCTGCTCCAGAGACACAGCCCGGGCACTGGGAGTGTGGTGGCCCTGTGCTGTGGGCCGCTGGCCCTTTGCCCACTCCACCAGTGCGAGTGGTCTCAAGTGGCCTGGGTCTGCAACTGGCAGCTCCCCTTACCAAGATCTTAGGAAGGATTGTGTCCCTTTCTCAGTGAGATGTTAATAAACGTTCAGAAGACCTGTAATCTCTGTTCTTCTGCTTGGGAATTAATTTCTAATGGTCCGTGGGAGCTTTTTAGATACCAGTTCTTCGTGCTGAGAGCCACATGCTGTCTATTGCAGGATGCGGTGAACTGGTTGGGCTATGCCTACTTGTACATACGCATGCTGCGGTCCCCAACCCTCTACGGCATCTCTCACGACGATCTCAAGGGAGACCCCTTGCTGGACCAGCGCCGACTGGACCTGGTTCACACTGCCGCCTTGATGCTAGATAAGAACAACCTGGTCAAGTATGACAAGAAGACGGGAAACTTCCAGGTGAGGGAGCCGAGGGCAGGAGGCAGAGGTCGCAGCAAGTCTTAGCCTCCTGAGACACTTTAAGATCTCAAAACCCCTCATACAGCACAGTGCTGCATGATGGTGCCTTCTCTCTGTGACCTAGGTGGGGGCAGTGGATGCAGCTGTGTTGTCTGTAAGGCAGTAGCTCACCATAGGTTGGATTATCGTGCCACCTTCATGTGCTTGGGCCAGGCACTCAGATTGCGACGCATTTACCCAGGGTGCCTGCTGTCCACAGTGACAGGCTGCGGCCAGCTAATGCTTAGCATTGGATTGGGTTTTCCTTCTTTGTAGGTGACAGAACTGGGTCGTATAGCCAGCCACTACTACATCACCAATGACACGGTGCAGACCTACAATCAGCTGCTGAAGCCCACCCTGAGTGAGATCGAGCTTTTCAGGGTCTTCTCGCTGTCCTCGGAGTTTAAGAACATCACCGTGAGAGAGGTAGCCCACAGCAGGTTGGGACGGGCACTGTTACTCAATGCCAGGGCACCGCCTGGGTCTCTCCTTGGTCCCCTGGCTTCTCTGACTGGTCTCCTTCCTGTGGCAGGAGGAGAAACTGGAGCTGCAGAAGCTGTTGGAGCGGGTGCCCATCCCTGTGAAGGAGAGCATTGAGGAACCCAGTGCGAAGGTGAGCCGGTTCCTTTGCTTGGGTGAAGACCTGGTTTAGAATTTTCTAAAGGTGGACCTTGGACTAGGGTTCGTGCTTGGTAACCTGCTCATTCTCCTAGATCCTCCTTACATATTCTTCTACATACAGTCACGGTTACTTAACGTTTATAGATTAAAAGCAGTAGGTTTTATGTGGCATGAATGCCCAGGGCAGAAATGTGGTTCATTTCCTTGGATTGTTCAGTGACCACCATCCTTCTTTCTGGCCTTGTTTTTTCCAGATCAATGTGCTTCTCCAAGCCTTCATCTCACAGCTGAAATTGGAGGGCTTTGCACTGATGGCTGACATGGTATATGTGACACAGGTGAGGGCAGACTTGTGCCACCGGGAGACAGGTTCTGAACAGTTCCTTTGCTCTCCTGTGTGTCTTAGAGCAAGTGGGTGGGGCACTAGTGAGGGAGAGGGAATGTCGAGCTTTCCCTTGGTTGGCTAGTTTTTGATGCGTGTGTGGTACAGCCACTGTTTTACTGCTTTCAAGTATGTGGGGAAAGGTGGGGCTTAAGAGAGTGCAGGGGCTCCTTAGGCAGAGGCCATAAGACAACATCCGCTTGCCCAGGGAGTGGCTTCCCACAGTGGCTGCTGGACTCATAAGTAAGTCCAGAATTGACAAAAGGCTTTATATAGTAGCTGTTTTTTGTCTTTACGTCCAAGGGCAAGTCACTAGCATCCTTATTCTTGCAAGAGCCCATAATGCTAAATGAGGCAAAACTTTAAAATCGCACAGCATAGTGTACGGCCAGGCTACCCTGAACACTCCCCATCCCTTCTGATCTCGGAAGCTAAGCAGGGTCGGGCCTGCTACAGCATCTAGGAAGACCAGGTGCTGTAGGCATAAAAAAAAATCGCGCAGCAAGCCGCCTGTTCTAACTGGTCTGTGTTCAGCAAGCGCCTGCTGTATGGAGGGGGAAAAGAGGAATTACAGAGGGCCTTTTAGAGTTGACGAGGCTGATTGTGTCCTAGTGAGGTCTGGGACAGGAGTACTTAGCAGAATTGCCTCGTCTTTCTCCAGTCAGCGGGCCGGTTGATGCGGGCCATCTTTGAAATTGTTCTGAACCGAGGTTGGGCGCAGCTGACAGACAAGACCCTGAACCTCTGCAAGATGATTGACAAACGCATGTAAGGCCTGGGAGTTGGCTCTGGCCACTATAATCCGGGTCCCCAGGCTGAGGGTGCTGGGGAAGGCGGAGCATGCACCTGACCTCTGGTCCGGATGCAGGAAAGGGGACATGTACCTCGGGAGGGTTGAGAGGGGAAAGGCTTTGAAGGGTGGAACTGTGGAGTGGGTGCAGAGTAGGGGTGACAGTTGGCTCTCAGGTCCCAGTGCTGGCACAGTGTCGAATGCCTGTCTTTAATGGCTGTTTTTTGTGGTCACGGCTAACTTCTTGGAAGCCATGATGAGGATACGTTGTTACAGGCCCTGTACAGGGACTGAGGGTTTTGTTCCCTTCCTGGGTAGGTGGCAGTCCATGTGTCCTCTGCGTCAGTTCCGGAAACTCCCTGAGGAGGTAGTGAAGAAGATTGAGAAAAAGAACTTCCCTTTTGAGCGTCTGTACGACCTGAACCACAATGAGATAGGTGTGTGGGGTGCTGTCATCCTTGTTCTTACTGCCCAGTCGTCTTTCTAAGCCCTCGCACTTTCCAATTACTGAGCCTCATGCCCCAAGGTCCTGGCCACCTCTCACCACCCTCTGAAGTACCGGGCCAGTCTCAGCCTTGGCCTTTGACTCCTCTGGGCTCCACTGAAAGTGAAGGGAAGAGCTTTCCCCCTGGGGTAGAATCGGCTGACTCCCCCAGTGGCCCTGTGCAGATAGTGTGTAGGCGGCTGGCTGCAGCCCCATGCCCTTCTGTTGTGTCCTCCCAGGGGAGCTCATCCGCATGCCCAAGATGGGCAAGACAATCCACAAGTACGTCCACCTGTTCCCCAAGTTGGAGCTGTCTGTGCATCTGCAGCCCATCACGCGCTCCACCTTAAAGGTGGAGCTGACCATCACGCCGGACTTCCAGTGGGATGAAAAGGCATGGGTTTGCTTGGCGAGGACTGGCTTCGGCATCATGTGGCGGAGAGTGGGTGGGCGGTGCTGTGTGCCCCACCGGCTCACTCTCCCTGTCTGGACCACATTGACAGGTCCATGGTTCATCAGAGGCCTTTTGGATTCTGGTGGAGGATGTGGACAGCGAAGTGATACTGCACCATGAGTACTTTCTGCTCAAGGCCAAGTACGCCCAGGACGAGCACCTTATCACGTTCTTCGTGCCTGTTTTTGAACCGCTGCCCCCTCAATACTTCATCCGTGTGGTGTCTGACCGCTGGCTCTGTGAGTGTGTTGTCTGCACAGCCCTGGGGACAGATTCTTTCAGGGCGAGTATGAGAATGACCTTGTTGTGGGGAGGGTTCCGGTGTGCACAGAGGGGCTGTGGGGGCCCTTGGGCGAGGAGGGCTGCTTGCCTACCACCCGCCTGCTTCTTCTTGGGCAGCTTGCGAGACCCAGCTGCCTGTCTCCTTCCGACACCTGATCCTGCCGGAGAAGTACCCGCCTCCCACCGAGCTGCTGGACCTGCAGCCCTTGCCCGTGTCCGCCCTGAGAAACAGTGCCTTCGAGAGCCTTTACCAAGACAAATTCCCCTTTTTCAATCCCATCCAGACACAAGGTCAGTGTCCTGGAGGTCTTATAAGGCCAACGCGGGGTAGGGGGCCCTCTGCAGTGGGAAGGGGAGTGAGGTGCTCAGATCTCCATGGACCTGGCAGCCCCTCGGTGCTGACCAGTGGAGCACACCAGGCATTTCCTGTCTCACGCGCCTGTGGTTACAGTTAGACCTGCTTTGTTCTTTTGCATGTCTCACCAAGGAGGTCAGTGCTTCGTCAGTTCTCAGGCTCGGGGGGCTTGCTGTCCCCTACGCTCAAGTGGTGGGCGGAGTGGGCAGCGTTGACCGAGGCCTTCATGCATTGCTGAGTGACCACTGTGTCCCCAGAGCACGTCTGGGTTTTGAGTATTGTAGGCCGAGGATATCACGGTGCTTTCTCTTTTGTTCTCCCCGCCTACGTTATGAAGGATTTACCATGTGAGATATTGTTGTCGCTGTCCTATTTGATTGATGGAGAAACCTAGGCAGAGGCACCCTGTTGCACTGGCTAATAAATAGGACGGAGACCTTCCCCCATTCTAGATGCCTGGGCTGGGCTTGTCCCTTCTTTCCACATTAGCCAGTTTCCATCCAGGAAACATGGAGCATTGGAGACAGAGAAGGGCAGCCAGGGCCCTTTCGCTCTGCGTCCTGGTCCCTGAGAGGGCTGGCAGGAAATGAGACTCAGGCTCCTTTGTATCTGTTGTCACCCCACAAGTTTGCACGGGGCCTGAACTCTTGATCTTTGCTTGTGTGTGGGAGGGAGACTGTGAGGGCACAGACGGGCAGTCCGTTGCCCCTCGTGCTGGCACCCATGCTGATGGCCGGCTTGCTGCTGCCAGCTTTGGGCTGCGCTCTGAGTCCACCTCGGATTCACGTGACCACCACTGGTTTTCAGTGTTCAACACCGTGTACAACAGCGACGACAATGTGTTTGTGGGGGCCCCCACCGGCAGTGGGAAGACCATCTGTGCGGAGTTCGCCATCCTGCGGATGTTGCTGCAGAACTCGGAGGGGCGCTGCGTCTATATCACCCCCATGGAGGCACTGGCCGAGCAGGTATGTGATGTAGTGCTGTGTCACCTGTAAGTGACACAGAGGCTGTTTTCATCTGTGAGTGCAGGTCAAGGTTCTCTAGGCCCTGAAATTTGCAGGGTGGGTCAGGGCACGACTGTTTGCATTTTATGGGTTGTTCTCTCAGCTCGTGAACTAAAAAGAGACCCTGTCACTGAATGGAGCTTGAAGTCTGTGGGTCACCAGGCTTCCTAGCTGCTCAGTTCTTCTCATGATGGAAGTGCCCCCCAGCGCAGCCTGACACTCTATGCGCCATGTCCCTGCCTGCAGGTGTACATGGACTGGCACGAGAAGTTCCAGGACAGGCTCAGCAAGAAGGTGGTGCTCCTGACGGGCGAGACCAGCACGGACCTGAAGCTGCTGGGCAAGGGCAGCATTGTCATCGGTACCCCCGAGAGGTGGGACATCCTCTCTCGGCGCTGGAAGCAGCGCAAGAACGTCCAGAACATCAGCCTGTTCGTGGTGGACGAGGCCCACCTCATCGGGGGCGAGAACGGGGTATGGCCTGGCCTGGTGCCTTACCTGTGATGGGGTCTGAGGCCAGAGATGAGGCCTTCTGCCAGCAGCACTCTGCTTGACCCTTTATTCAAAGGGACAACGTGAGACTTGAGCTCTCAGTGGACATTGGCTCCTCTGGGGGGTGGAACCCAGGAGCATTTCGAGGGTGCTAGGTGGTGCACATAGGTAACCCATGGCCGAGGGTGGGCGTCCGGGTGCTTGATGACGCTCCCTTTCCTCCAGCCTGTCTTGGAAGTGATCTGCTCCCGGATGCGCTACATCTCCTCCCAGATTGAGCGGCCCATTCGTGTTGTGGCGCTTAGCTCCTCGCTCTCAAATGCTAAGGACGTGGCCCACTGGCTAGGCTGCAGTGCCACCTCCACGTTCAACTTCCACCCGAACGTGCGCCCCGTGCCTTTGGAGCTGCACATCCAGGTAGGACCCACTTTTCCTGCCACTCATGGCCTCTTGTTCAGAGTACTGGCTCTTGTAACCCCTTTTCCTGTGGTCCTTAGGGCTTCAACATCAGTCACACGCAGACTCGCCTATTGTCCATGGCCAAGCCAGTGTACCATGCCATCACCAAGCACTCTCCCAAGAAGCCTGTCATCGTTTTTGTGCCTTCTCGTAAGCAGACCCGCCTTACGGCAATTGACATCCTCACCACGTGTGCGGCGGACATCCAACGACAGAGGTGGGGGCCTGGCTATGTCCACTTCCTCTTACCCGGCTTGGCCCTGGGGGTTGGGCTGACCGGGAGTTAGGTCATGTGAAGTTGGCCCACTCTGAAGGGTGTCCCATTTTTGAGGGCGGGCTTAGCTCCCCTGGCTAGGGGCTGGGTGACCGCACCTTTGGCAGGTGTTTGCCAGGGACCGGAACCCTCTGGCTGAGTTAGCCTTGTGCCGCCCAGGTTCTTACACTGCACCGAGAAGGATCTGATCCCGTACCTGGAAAAGCTGAGTGACAGCACGCTCAAGGAGACGCTGTTAAACGGCGTGGGCTACTTGCATGAGGGTCTCAGCCCCCTGGAGCGGCGTCTGGTGGGACAGCTCTTCAGCTCAGGTAAAGAGCCTTTGGCACTGGTTGTGACTATTATCCAGCATGTCATAAGTGGTGCATGCGAACTGCAGCGTTTAGTGTTATTTTTCTGCGTCATTTTTGAAGTGCTTCTCTGGTTATGGAATCTGCTGTCTCTTTGGATCCTGCCAGTAATCTCGTGGTGCGATGGGGTAAACAGTAACTGTCCTTGCTAATGAAGAAGCAGGGGGCACCCAGGGTGAACCTTTCCAGAACCTGCTTTTCTAGACTAGCACCTTCAGCCCCTATACTGGTTTTCCAGGGACATCAGATCTGCCAAGGTCTCTTCCAGTATTGCTCCGTTCTCAGTCATGACAGACCTCACTCCTAGCAAGCTTTGCTCTAGCTGTGAAATCAGATTGGCCCCCACCTGCCCAGGAGGCAGCAAACTCTTCCTCAGCTGCCTTCTCTCTGCCACAGGGGCCATCCAGGTAGTTGTTGCTTCTCGGAGTCTCTGCTGGGGCCTGAGTGTGACCGCCCACCTGGTGATCATCATGGACACCCAGTACTACAATGGCAAGATCCACGCGTGAGTCCAGCTGCGCTCTGTGCTCCCAGAGCCCTTCCCTTAGAGGACATGCCACCTGCAAACCCAGAAACTAGGCGCTAGGAGGACAGGGTGTTGGCATGGTCAGCAGCCTGCCGGGGTTCCAGCACTGCTGGTGTTGGAGAACGTTTGGTTTCAGGACCTGGGCTCGCATTGGCATCAGTCATCCTCCTGTGATTCAGCAAGTGGGCAGCCAGGGAGTTCCAGCCAGAAGGAACTTGGGGATTATGTAGTTGACCTGTTTGTGTTGTAGATTGGGTAGGTGATTTGGTCTAGGCCACATAACTTGTGGTAATAAGAAGTAAAAGGTTTGGTTTTCTCAGAAAAAGTTCGAATAATTTAACTCAATAATTTTTCCTCCAAAAAATGCAGATTATTTTTGAAATGAGTTTTATTTTTATGGTTTATTTTTAACGTCTGAATCTGCTTATAGATTTGGTTTTAAGTTAGGTAACTTGATAACTCATAAAGTACACAGCTATTAAATGGGGGCAGCTTGACTCACTTGTGTGCTCCTTATATTAGGAGTTAATTCACTTTTGGTGTCAGGTAGGTTTGTGGCTTTGGGTCAAGGACCGTGAGCAACAAGTCACAACTCATGTGAAAACTGCAGTAATGCATAGTTAAGTATGTCACTGACCATGCAGTGACAACAGTGCCACTGCATAAGAACTCATGAACACAAGGTCTGCTGTCACGTGCCCTGGCTCCTCGTGTAAGCATTGCGTTCCGACGCTAGGGAGTCAAAGCACCTTGAGTGCGACATTGTGTTGATGCATTCTGCCTCCTTTCCCATGTCACCAGGTATGTGGACTACCCCATCTATGATGTGCTTCAGATGGTGGGGCACGCCAACCGCCCTCTGCAGGATGACGAGGGGCGTTGTGTCATCATGTGCCAGGGCTCCAAAAAGGTTGGTCCTGGCCTTGGGACGCAGGCTGTCTTTTTCAATGAGGGTTTCTGTGTCTCTTTCAACTCTGCTGCTTGTTTCTCACATTCTTTCGTAGTTAGCTTTAGCCACAGGGAATTCCGTAGCCTTTTGTTTTTGTTGCTGCTGTTGACTCCGTGTGCCAGGCCTTTGCCCTCTGGCTGGTTCCATCTTCCTTTTGCACTGCTCATCCCATGTGATTGGTGCCTTCCTATTGCCACTGCGGATGTAACAGTGAGCTGGTGGCATGGCATACACAGCCAACACTCCAGTGCAGACTCAGCTCACCTTATCTGCAGTGTTTTCCTCCATCTTTGTATTAGCTCTATCATACACAGCCTCTTCCCTACTGGTTTGCCCTTGGCCCTTTGAGACCATGTTGTCATTGACTGTTCCTGTCTTCTCCTACTTCATAGGATTTCTTTAAGAAGTTCTTATATGAGCCATTGCCAGTGGAGTCTCACCTGGACCACTGTATGCATGACCACTTCAATGCCGAGATTGTCACCAAGACCATTGAGAACAAGCAGGACGCTGTAGACTACCTTACCTGGACCTTTCTGTACCGCCGCATGACGCAGAACCCCAACTACTACAACTTGCAGGGTCCGTGGGCCTTGGTGCACAGTCTCCTTTCGTGCTTTTCACAGCCCTCGCTGGCTGTTGCCCTGTGACTCCCCACTTCTCTCACCTTCACAGGCATCTCCCATCGTCACCTGTCTGACCACTTGTCAGAGCTGGTGGAGCAGACGCTGAGTGACCTGGAGCAGTCCAAGTGCATCAGCATAGAGGACGAGATGGACGTGGCTCCTCTAAACCTGGGCATGATCGCCGCCTACTACTACATCAACTACACCACTATCGGTGAGGCCGGCTGGGGCAGCTTTTGGCTGTGGGTGCAGCCACTGGGTGGTGGTGATAGGCAGGGTGACCTGGGCAGTTAACCGCTCCCACATCGTCTCTCTCTCGGACAGAGCTCTTCAGCATGTCCCTGAATGCCAAGACCAAGGTGCGTGGGCTAATCGAGATCATCTCCAACGCAGCCGAGTACGAAAACATCCCGATCCGGCACCACGAGGACAACCTGCTGCGGCAGGTGAGGTGCCTCGGCCCCAGGGGATGCCTGCCTATGTGCCAGAGCACATGGACCCCTCTCTGCCAAGGAAGACCCCACACATGCATCTCCACCTCCTCCCCCGCTACCCTCTGCATGGAATTTTGAAGGGTTGTGAGTCTAGGATGGGGAGTTTTAGGACTTGAGAGCTGGCCTCAGGCTGCGTTACCTGTTTGTCACCAGTTTCTTTTTCTTCCCCTTTCTAGTTGGCTCAGAAGGTCCCCCACAAGCTGAACAACCCCAAGTTCAATGACCCACATGTCAAGACCAATCTACTTCTTCAGGCTCATCTGTCTCGTATGCAGCTGAGCGCTGAGCTGCAGTCAGATACAGAGGAGATCCTTAGCAAGGTAGGGTGCAGGGCAGTGTGGGGCAGACACGGGACAGGCCCCACGGCCTAGGAAGCAACCTCTCTAGCCTCCTGGTCTCACACTCCCACCCTGTGCAGGCCATCCGGCTCATCCAGGCCTGTGTGGATGTCCTCTCCAGCAATGGGTGGCTCAGCCCTGCTCTGGCAGCCATGGAGCTGGCCCAGATGGTCACCCAAGCCATGTGGTCTAAGGACTCATACCTGAAACAGCTGCCTCATTTCACTTCGGAGCACATCAAACGTTGCACAGACAAGGTGAATTGGTCTGGACCTGGCTGAGCTGAGAGCTGTGTGTCTGGGCTGCAGTGGGGGTGGGGATGGGAGTAGCATGGGGGTGCAGACCTCCAGCTTTTGTTCCCCTGAAGGTGTCACACGTTGACATGCTAGAGAGTGCATTTGATGATGGCAGGCCATGTTGTCTTCAGATGATGGGTAGTGTAGGATGGAAATTAGCAACCGTGTGGAGCCTGTTTATTTGCTGTCAGTGTGGATTTTTTCCCCTTGATCTCTGAATGCCTGCTGCAGGGAGTGGAGAGTGTTTTCGACATCATGGAGATGGAGGATGAAGAACGGAACGCATTGCTTCAGCTGTCTGACAGCCAGATGGCAGACGTGGCCCGTTTCTGTAACCGCTACCCTAACATTGAGCTGTCTTACGAAGTTGTGGATAAGGACGGCATCCGCAGGTGAGCCAGAGGGCCAGGTGCCCTGCTCCAGGGGCTCTGCCGCCCAGCGCTGATATGCTGCACTGCTTCTTCCCCACAGTGGCGGGCCCGTTGTGGTGCTGGTGCAGTTGGAGCGAGAGGAGGAAGTCACAGGCCCCGTGATTGCGCCTCTCTTCCCACAGGTGTGTCCTGGCAGCTGCCTTTTCCAGGTGTCCACTGGAGGCCTTGTCCATGGGTGGTCAGAGGACAAGAGTGCACTGTCACTAGGGAGGGAAACTTAGGATAATGACAGATCATAGGCTGAGAATATCAAGACTGTGGGTGTTTTTGTTTTTGTTTTTGCTTTAAAACAATTTAGATGACTGGTCATCGTTAAAATACCAGCTAAGCAGTCAATCTCTGTGACTGCAAAAATGCATTTTTCTTTAAACCGCTGCAGGACAGCTGGGCTTTTCTAGGTGTTTCTTCTCCCTCCTTTCTCACTGCCACTTACTGTGCTTCCAGTTGCTTGGTTTTTTACAAGAAAGAAAATCTAGCAAAAACTAGATACAATGTATGTAATATTTAATTTTACAAACTAGTTGAATACACTCCAAGGAAAGAGCACTTTATAATGGAGTTCCTAGGCTTTCTGATGGCAGAGTGGGCAGCAGAAGTGCCTGGATGGAGGCAAGGCCCACTTCCTCTCTGTGGGTGGGCTGTTGTCCATGTTCACATGTCATAATCACCTGGCACATTTGCCTGAGAAGAGCCTCAGAGGGACTCAAAGTTGCCAGGCCCCAGAGACAAGGTCTCTAGTAGTGGAATCCTGGATGCAGTAGCAAGTGCTAACTGGGACAAGGAAGTGAGCTGGAAGCAACAAATGAGTCCCTCTACTACTTAAAAATTGAGTTCATTTGAGTTGCCTTGTGATGGTTTCACAATCTTAGTTACATCAAATTGTGTTTCGGGGGAAACTCTAGAAAGCTTTCTGTCTGCTTTTTGTTTTCCTACTTTTGTAACCACTCTCATGGTCTTAAATCACTGTCAAGTTTTATGTGCTGAGATTCTTGGTTTTCGGTCACTACAGAAACGTGAGGAGGGCTGGTGGGTGGTGATTGGAGACGCCAAGTCCAACAGCCTTATCTCCATCAAGAGGCTGACCCTGCAGCAGAAGGCCAAGGTGAGTGCCACTGGCCCAGCCTGAGACTGAGATAGGGCAGGACAGGAGCGCTCTCCCACGTCCGTGTCTGCCCTGACCCTTGCCTGCTCTCTCTAGGTGAAGCTTGACTTTGTGGCCCCAGCCACTGGCGCCCACAACTACACTCTATATTTCATGAGCGATGCTTACATGGGATGTGACCAAGAATACAAGTTCAGTGTAGATGTGAAAGAAGCCGAGACAGACAGCGACTCGGATTGAGTGTGGAGGCCTGTGCTCTTGCCTGGAGGGGTTGGACCTGAACAAAGAGCATGTCTGGGTCACAGTTGTGGACAGTAAGTCTGCTGGCATGAGGGCGGACTGCCAGGCAGTGCAGGTGCACCCCAGGGCCCCTCCACATTTCCTCTTGCCACCTTGGCATCCAAGCTTTGGATCCGGTGTCTGTAGGTGTCGTGTAGCTGTCGTGTTAACTGGATAGCATTTTTAGGCATGTTCTTTGTTTTATTAGGTGTTTTAATAAAATCAGTTGGAGAAATCATTCATCTTTGCAGTGATTCTATATTTTAGTTTCTTTGCTCTAGCCTAAGGCCCTTCGAAAAAGATTTTTTTCTCTTTAGCCACTGAACTTGCTTAAGATACTTGTCGAGAATAAGGCTGCTCTTTAGTTGGGCCATCACCTGCAGCATGTCCGCTGAGGGGTTAGGCAGCTTCTTTTTAGTCAGTATAGCCTGGTCCCCATCTTGCTACCCATGTCAGCACACTGCTGGAACTAACAGAGCTACAGGGACAGATGACAGGGTAGGTTTTTCAAGATCTGCAGCGACACCCCTCACCCCAAGGAGACTCAGGAGGGGTTAAAACGTACCAGCTGGGTGTGTGACCCAATCTACACTGATACTGTGATCCAGGTCTGCACATCTTCGTCTTCAAATTTTTGCCTTGTCATTCTTTAGGAATAACTTCACATAAAGTTAGAAGATGATTCTGAGGGGTAATTTCCCTAGGTCAGCAGTTTTCAAATGGCTTGGTCTTAGGACCCCTTCACAGTACAAAAATGAGGAACCCCAAAGAGCTTTTATTACCTAGATTACATCCATTGATGTCAACAATATGAAAAATAAGAACAGTGCATTTAAAAAGTAACAATAAATTGTTAGTTTTTTTTTTGAAAAATTACTTGTAAAACATCCAAGGAGAAGAGTGGCCTTTGATGTTTTTACAGACCTTGGTTCTGTCTGGTTTAATGAAGACTGGGACTCTCGTGTCTGCTTCTAAACCTCATGTTTAAATGAAGTAAAATGGAAGTAAAACTGGCTTTACATGTATATGCAGTTGTAAAAGAGAGGACATTTTAAATATCCTTTTCAGAAAAAGGCTTTTTGATACTACAGTGACTCTGTGAGTGGTCATTTCTTAAAGTTTCAGGTGGCACGTTGCCTTTACCAGTGTGCTGTTAAGACCCGTGGGTCTGTTTTATATCCCGAATGGGCCTCTTACCCATGAATGAGTCCCTAATGTCATGCATTAATCATTTGGAAAATATGGGTTCACTGACTCGTGTAGGTCTTCCAGATGCTGATCCATTTCATGACACAAGTCACATTTGTTAATGTCACCACTCACCTCATCAGAAGACTAAGTATTGGGGAGATGTCAAGCTCATGGTGGCAATACAGGTTTTCTGGAATTTAATTTTTGCTTGAAAGCTTTATCATTGGCAACACTATCAGTTTCTTTTGATATGAAAAGCTCATTAGTTTCCCAGAAAACATCTGCCAGGTAGCCAGTAACTTGCCACTACTCTCAAGTGAAAATAAGTCAAGAAAACAACTGATGCACCTGGTGACGTAGCTGTACAACTGCTTTTCCTCAAGAGCTGCAAGTCAGGGCACTTTCTGCATGCTGCGTCACAACATGGCGGTGTTCCTGGGGGTCAAGATTGAATGCAATTTACTTGTATTGGTTTATGAAGGACAGTCCTAAGTGAAGTTGCCAACACTTCTGCTGTGACAACAAGGAAGTGAAGACAAAGATTAGTTGGTGCCACTGCCATGGTTCCTGCCAAGTTGCCAACAGCTGACCTCAAGCCCCCTGAGAGGCTCGAGCCCCAGGGATGTGAGAACACATTTTGCGCATTACCCCAGGTGCTGCCCAGCTGTCTCCACAACCTAAAGTCATGATCTCTGTGGTGTGAGAAATTAAGGCTGGAGCTTTAGGGACAAGTCCTCATGTGGAAACCCACATAGAGTGGCTGACAAAACCTGAGTGGGAGGGAAGAACTGATTGCCTCTGACAGGGATTCTCTGCCTTGTCTCATTACCTCCCAAAGGAGCCCTGTCAGATATCTTTGCCTCACTGGCTCTCACCACAGAAACTCAGTACCAGATGGACTGTATCATGTACTGTGACCCCTCAGAGGGCCACAGGTGATCGTCTCTAAGATTTTTTTTTTGTCTCCTACCCAAGAAACAGTTTTCAGCCCCACTAGGAATGTACAGCCTGTGGGCAATAGCAACTCGCTTTTAGGGTGCATATACTCCCTGTTTATTTTCAGCATTCCCTGCAGCCACAGGAGATACTATGAAGGCTTCGCAGGGAAGCCAAGGTGTCTTCACTGCAAACCAGCTAACATTAAATAATCTTCCACAGTCTTAAATGCAATGATTTACCCAGAAATGGGGAAGGCAGGACCAAATTCTGAAAAGGAATCACCATGAAATTGTTTTAAATGTGAATATCCTGATGATATAAGCTAGGACGGGTTATTCCTATAAAGCTTACAATTTCAGGAAGGTCGGAGATACACCCCCCAACATACAGATACAGTGATTACAAATGGTGTATTTACCCCCAAACTTTAACACTGAGCCCTAAAGTAAATCTGTGGCACAACCACAAGGTGCTGCTGTTCCATGGCTCTGAGCGGGGCCATGTCAGGAGGGACAGAGTGGCTCTGTGGCCCCGCATGTCTTCCAGGGCTAGGGGGACAAGCCAAGTTCATCGAAGGCCAGGGTGCTCCTCCAGGTCCCCCTGGGCAGGAAAAATCTTAGGACATTTTCTGGGGAGCCATGGTTCTGTCCAAAGTTAAGGTGGCTCAGAGGCCTTCTGGCCGCTGATACTTCCAGAAAGCCACCTCCCCATCATCGCTGCAAGAGGCCAGAAGCCCCTGCTCTTTGGGGTTCCAGGCCACACAGTTGACATCCTGGGGATGGGCCTGAGGCAGGTGGGCCGTCAGAGAGAAGGTAGGCTGCTGAGGGTCAGAGCCAGGATCCTCCTCAAACACTCGGATGGCATCATCCCCACAGGCTGTAGCCAGGGCCCCTGTCAACTGACACCTGGGAAGAACACGCTGTTAGTGCATGTGCTGGTGGCTCCACCCTCCCCAATCCAGCAAGTCAGGTACAAGGGCCTGATTTGACAAGCCCTGGCCTGCTCTCTTCCCAAACTTCAGGCCTCAGCTGACCTCTTGCTGAAGACCCCCCTAACTAACATAGAGCTATCAACATCCCCCCAAGTCTTTAAGAGCCACCATCCGGGTTTACCGTACTATAATTAACCTAAAGAATGGTATGGTCCTGAAGTGCACTTCTGTCACTTAGCATAAGCAATCTGCCTTGTCATGAAGTTTGCATAGCAACATAATAGGTCATTGAACTTTACCATATTTTATTGGTCTGTTTTTGTTATTCCCAAATGTTTGTTGATGCAAAGAAAGCTTAGATGCATATCAACTTTTTTCACTATTTAGGGTTATTTCCTAGGGCTAAATTCTTAGAGCCAGTCTGCCCTCTGACCTAAACGTGTGGCTTCTCTAGGCTCTGTAAAGGTAGAGCCCGTGCCACCAAACCATAAAAACCCTAGCCATGAATCCAGTTTCAAAAACGACTATTTCCGGATGGTACAATGCTGTGTGACCCAAAAGGCCAGTGCTGCACTCACAGCTTGGGAGCTTGATGCAGGTGCAGGCCTAGGTCTGAGTCTGTTCTGGGTTACTGTGACCCAGGCCAGCTGGCTCTAAGCCAGCATGGTGGACAGTCTGGCCTGTTCTGAAGAAGTGTGGGTGCTACTCCCTATTCCATGCACCCCCAAAGGGGCAAAGAGCAGCAGAGGGTCTGACCTCCCTAAAACCTGAGTTGGGGGTTGGGTGGAGATGGGGGCACAGATCTTACCAAGCAACATCATAAATGGTCCTGGAGTGGAAGCCCGACAAAGTGCAGACACATTTCCAGCTGGGGTCATTTCCACTGCATGCCACCCCTGCATGACAGACTTCTCTTGAATCCAAGACATGTCTTGCTTGTGTCTTGGGCACCTCAGGGGGCGACTATCCTGATTTGCCCTCCCTCATCCCACCCTCAGCCACGAGTCATCTCGTGGCCAGATTGGCATTTTTAAAGTGAAATTCTGAGAAGGAAATGTCCTAAAAACCCTTTGGCTGCAAACTACGTCTGACTAGTCGGCCTGCCTTTGAAGGCCACCCACCAGCCAGCACAACCCACCTGATTTCCCAAACCCTCACACCCTACGCTCCAAGTCTAGGCTTTTCTACCTTTAAGGCCTTTGCTCACGTTGTTCCATTTTCACTCAGAACTCTCTCTTCACATTAAAATCCTACCCATCCTTCTACATGGCCTTCCCTGACCCTCCAGCACTCTGGCGCCCCCTTGTGGCACAACTCCTCCCCCCAATTTCCTGGGCTTCATCTACATGTCTCAGCCCAAGTAAACCATCAGTCTCATGGAAATTTGTCTCCTTTAGCTCACCTTGCTCATTGCCTGGTAGGTACTGGTGCCAGATGCGCACGGTACGGTCATCACTGCAAGATGCCAGACGCTGGCCACTGGGGTCAAAGGCCAAGCTCCATACAGTGGATTCATGGCCCTCAAGGGTGGCACAACATACCCAGTCATCCTCTTCTTCCCTGTAGAGCTTCACTGTGTCGTCATAGCTGGCAGAGGCTAACAGCTTGGGGACATAGGGAAAACACAGCACTTATAGCCCAGAAGTGCCCTGCTAGGACAGGACAGTCACAGGTGACTGTCTTTATAAAGGGATTAATGTCTTTTGGTCATGGACTGTGATCCCTATTAAAGCCAGACTGAGGCAGAAAAGCAGAGTACTGGGCACAGCCCTCCACTGGGAATTCCCTCCCACCAAGATACCTGGCCTAACTTTTACCTCCTGGCTCGGGTGCCAGACCACGTGCTTGACATCCTGCGTGTGCGAATTGAGGACACTAACACATTCGTACTCATCTTCTTCATCGACTGTGAGAGAGAAAGAGAAAGGAGCCCACGAGCTGACCCTGCCAAGGTCACAAAGCGGATGTCTGACTGCTAGATCACAGCTGTACCTGGAGGGGCTGGGACTCACCTTCCCAGACCCACACACTCTTATCTCGGCTGCAGGTGGCAATGAGGTTGCCAGATGGGGCCCAGGCCACTGACTTGACCTCATTTTCATGGCCCTCCAGCGTGGTCACGCACTGTGAAAAGAAAAGAGAGACAAGATTCAACCTCACCCAAGATCATGGGCTCAAGTTCCTGAGCCGGCCTTGGGGAACAAAGAGGCAACAATCCTGGTTTCACCAGACCAGTTACCTCAAAATCATCCTGGTTCTTCTTCCAAATGCAAGTGGTAGCATCAAAGCTGGCAGAGGCCAGGTAACTGCCGCAGGGAGACCAGGCCACCTTCCGCACAGTGCGCTGGTGGCCTTCAGAAAGGACAGATTTGCAGATCCAGCTGTCACCTAAAAGCAGAGGGCAACGGGCGCTGGAGCTGGGTGCACAGGAAGGCGATGAAGCACTGTCAACGCCATCTGATGGGGGTCATCACTGGAACCAAGCTGCGGACAAAGCTCAGCAAACATATTTACAACATGCTTTCAGAAAGAGGTAACAACCCTACCTCTTCTGGAGGCACGAGCCTTTTGAAACAAATCTGAGGAGTCACCCTCGCGATTTAATGCGGTCAGTGGCTCCCGAATGCCCTTGTGATAAAATCTAACTTCGCGACGTCGCAAGTTACTCTGCAGTCTACTCTCCACCGTCCTGCTCTCTTCATTTTCCTGCCTCAGCAACTACCCAAAGTCCCTCCACAGTTCCGGCCTTTCGCTGACGTTTCTGCTTCTAGTACTTGCTGGAAAAGTCCTTCTCAGAGCAGCTAACATTCACCTCGAGATGGCCTCTCCCGGCTCTCCCTGGGCGGTACCCCGGCCGAGATAGGCCTGCCGCGCAACCCTGAGCCCGGGCCTTACCCTCCCTGCCCCAGATGCGGACTCTACGGTCGCCCCCACATGAGGCCAGCAAGGTTCCCGCGGGGTTCCAGGCCAGGAACCAGCACCGCGAGTCCGGGTGAGCCGAGACACGGCCCAGCAGCACCAGCGAGTCCTTCATGGCGGCCCGGCGCGGGACGAGGAGGTGGGCAGCGTTCCGACAGCGGGTCCCACCGCGTAGGTGCCCGCGATGCCCCACCCGGCCTTCCACAGCCGCCCCTCTAGCCGCTTCCGCTCGGGGGCCCGGGGCGTTCTGGGAACTGAAGTGCCCACTGTCGCGGCCGCGCTGCCCTCTGGGAGTTGTAGTCGGCCCCCGACCCCAGCGGAAAGCCTCGCGGAACTCCCTCGAACTACCAGTCCCGTGAGGCCCCGCGCAGGGAGCCGGCGGCGCGCCGGGCTGTGACGCGCGCGGGGACTGGGCGGGGAGCTGGAGAAGGCGGAGGCAGGCAAAGAGGAAGCCGGAAGTGGGTTGGACCCGGGTCGGTCCGGGCGTTGCGGGTTTGGGGCCTGGGATCGCTCGGGCCCGGGCAGCTGAGGAGCCGGTGACTGGACGGAGCGGCGCCATCCCGGCCCTGAGGCCTGCTGACTGGTGAGGAATGGCGGTCAGTGTCGGGAGGGTTCTTTCTGGGCAGAGGTCGCACCCTAGAGCGCAGTTCTCACATCCTGGGTCCGGGATCCCCTCGGCCCAGCCTGGTCCTCCGCCCCTCGACACCCTCTGGCCGAGACCCCGGGTCCGGGTCTCTCCCACCAGTAGCCAGTATTTCCTCCCCCACCCCCACCGCTGTCTACCCAGTTCCCAATCAGATTCTCGTCCCGCATCTCTATTCCAGGGACCCCGTCCCCGCCCCCTGAACCCCTGCAGCCCTCCAGTATCCGCTGGGGCCCAGGTCCCACCCCCTAGCCTCCGGTGTCGGTCCCGGCAGCCTTGTGCCTTCTTCAGCTGCCTCCTCCCTGGAACAGGCAGGCTCTGCGCGCCCCGCGGAGGTCGGCGGCGACCAACAGCGACCGCGGAGCAAC